TTTTTATTAAACCTTTGCTAAATATTCTTAAGAGTTCTTGTTTTACTCTCTTTATTAACCACTGCAACCTACTTTAAGCAGGTCCTACTTTGCTCTCATGGTGATAGGGGAATCTGCCAGGATAGGTTATTTTTATTCCCTGTAATTAAATTGACTTTTCTCCCTCAAAATACAACAATAGGAAGTGGGTGCTGAATTTAAAAAATAGCCCAATATCCAATAGACGTGTACTTAAATCCCTTGCAAGAACAGATGGTCCCAGTATCTCTGTAAGTAATGTGAGAGGACAGTTAATGATCTGCACCAGCTAGTATCACCAATAGAACACTAAGGAACTGATAGATTTCAAGTAAGGAGCCACATGCCACTAAGCAAAGTTATATGTCCTTTGCAGGGATTTAACTTGAGTAACTTGCAGAGAACTCTCTACAGATGAGTTCTGTATTTTAAACTGATGATATCAAAGATGGATTTCTTTCTTTCTTTTTCTATTTTTAACAAAGGTTTGTTTTAGCATGAAGTTAAATGTAATATGTAAAATGCATCCATTGAAGTAAGTATGGATGTGGGGAGGTGGCTATTAGGTTATTCACAGAAATGTGGTTTTGTATCTAATTATGAGAGCATTTGTTTATCTTGTGGCAGAAAGTGCCATCAACAAGAGTTGGCCGAGATGGCAACTGTCCTGGAGGGGGGAGTTGAAACAGAGCTATAACACCTAACAGTTTTCCAGCCTTGATAAATACTGTATAAAAAGCAGCTTTTTTTCTGATTTATCTGGAAAGTGACATAATTCAGAGTCATTCTTGAGGTCATCTTACAAAAGGTTTAGACAAGTAGTCATTTTTTTTTTGTAGACTCTAAACAGTAGGCATCATAACATAGGGTGTATTTTTTCTCTGGTCTTTAATAGTGTTTGTCCTAGTATTTGTATATGCTGAGGGTCCAAAGAGTGTTTTGTATTTGGGGATAGGGAGAAAAAATGGCATTAAATTTCTAATTCATCCATTCAGCTAATATGCAGAACCTTTGACCTTTCCTGAGGTTAGCCTGAGGGCTTTCCATCAAGAAACCAGAGAGTCTCCCCTTTTGGCCTTCCTTGAAGTCTGGAAGATAGTATTCTGCTGCCATGCAGAGCAGAGCCAGCTGGCCCACTGCTCATATAGATGTAATAAAAACTGTTTTTGGGGAAAAACACAAGTGGGTAGAGGATGGTCAATGTGGAGCAATCATAAGCTCTAAAGGAGAAGCGCAGCCCGTATTTGTCAAAAATAGCTACTTCTTAATTTTTAGTCTTATGGTAATACAGATAATTTTTTTACTCTTGTTAGTGCAGGCAAATATTGTGTGTGTGTGTCTGTGTATTTTTGTGATTTTGAGGTTCTAACTCAGGGCTTCAGATATGCTAGGCAAGCTCTATCATTGAACTGCACTCCCCAGTTCCTAATTACATATAGGTAACTCAGAAAGCCTTAAAATAGAAAGAAATAAACCAGATATTTAAAAATGGATATTTTACCAAAGTCCTAGAAAGGCAAAAATAGCAAATATCTGAACAGTGATCACGACGGATTTATTAAGGAATGGTGCATGGAATTCTAAGAGACAACTGATAATTTAAGTTAAAAATCTATGCAGTTTTAACCTCAATAAATAACAATCACAATGATGACGAGAGGGTTGACAACTGCGTTTCCTTGAAGCAAGTCCTGGCATCAGCTCAATCTTGTGGAGGAATTGTGATAGAGAGAAGCTTGAGTACTGTACTTTAGACCTAGCAACTGCCCGACCACAGATACAGCTGTGGAGAGTTACTGAACTTCTTTGTCATAAGTTACTTCTATTTTAGGGAAACACATCTACTCCATAGGATTCTTGTAAGGATTAAATGAGTTGCTACATGAGACATGCTTAGGTCAATGTCTGGCATGTAAAATATGATGTTCATGAAATATTTAATGGATGGAACTTGTAAATTAAAGCAAGTAGAATGATCAGAAATAATGATCAGACACTAATATCAGTTAATCACAATATCTTCACTGTAGAAAAAAATTAGAAATTCATAGGGGAAAAATTACAATCTTCTTATCATCCCTAGTACTCACATGAATATTTATATATGTATAAAATTTATTACACCAACAGTATTTATTCAATAAACATATACAACACAATAGTAGAATTGCATTGTGCTACTTTAGACACTTTTCTGTTCAGTACCATGTTATAATTGTGCTAACATTATATCATAAAAATAAATGTGTTATGTAGAATACACATTTTTCATTTTGTAAATTTCAAATGTTTTATTGTTATTGTAGAGTCGATATTCAGAAGGGCTACAGTTATATGAATTAGGTGAAGAGCCTTCTTTTCCCTTGCTCTCTCTGGTTTTTCCCTCCTGTCCCAATCCACAATATACAGTTTGTTTTTCACGTCGTGTCCCTTGGGCTCCACTGCTGCATTTGTTCATCCTTATTCCACCTTTTATGGGCCTTCCCATCCCCTCCCAAACACACACAAACAAGACAAAATGAGAAGAAAACAAAAACAGGAATAATGATCATTAAAAGTGTTTCTTGTTTCCTTTTCTTGGAGTTCATTTTATGTGATCACCTGTCCATAGCTATTGAGCCTTTGTCTACCACTCCTAGGCATATTCTCTTTTGTCCTCAGAATGTGAATGATGCATATATATTTATTAATCATCATATTTGGATGTCTAGATTATTTCTAAATTTCACCCAAGTAATGCTTAGGTAAGCTGGGTACGGGGGGCTCATACCTGTAATCCGAGCTACTTGGGAGACTGAGAACTGAGGATAAGGATTCAAAGCCAGCCCAGGCAGTAAAGTCCTTGAGATTCTTACCTCCAATTAACAATCAAAAAAAAAGGCTGAGAGTAGAGCTGCAGCCCAAGTGATAGAGCTCTAGCCTTGAGCAAAAGCTTGGGTAAATTTTGTTTTGGCTCAATTGTACGTATTATTTATTCCCTTATGGTAAATTACTGATATAAATTGTTGGATAAAAACCATGCATTTTCTCTTTTCAACATTAAACATAATTTTGTAATAGTGCTGATTATCTGATTATTGGAAAGGAAAAGTTATGAAGGCTTGTAAGAAAAAAAATCCCATACCCTCTAGTCATCTCTCTCCTTTCATAGGTTAGTATCTTAAAGCTTTTGTGTACTTTTTTGCTTTGTTTTTATTTTTTCTCTTCTTAATATTCTTTTAATAAACGTGGGATCAAATCCCCCAGATATCTTTGCAACATGGTATTATTGCAGTTAATACTCATTCTTAGCATGAGTATATTTACAGAGCAGAATAATAGTTCACACACTTGTTCACTGAAGAGACATAGAGGAGGCCTATCATTTATTCATCCATTTTCCCACTGAAGAAAACTAGTGTTGCTTCAAATATTATTTCTATCCTAAGTATCACTGCAATTAACATTTTGAAACCTTTTGATACTCATTTCCATTTGTCCTCCAGTGGCTACCATTTCTGTACTTCCACCAGCGAGGGGCTGCTTCCCTGTAGCTATACCATCACTGAACCTTATTTTTGATCTCTTGCCAACCTAAAAGGCAAAATGTGGTATCTTGTTGTTTTGATTTGCATTTCTTTGATTACTAATTAGGGTGAACTTTTTCATATGCTCACTGGTCAATTTACATTTCTTCTTTTGTGAACTGCCAGCTTGGGTCTTTTAATGTACTTTTCCTTGAAAAGTGTTTCTAGATTATATGTGTCATGTGGTAAATATTAGTATCCATTTGGTCTTTGTGAGTGATGCCTCTTTATGGATCTTTAGGACATAGTAGTTATTTAGGTAAGTATCTTAGTCTCTTCATATCTGCTTTGTTTTCACTTAGAGCTTTTCTAACTTACGGTTATGTCAACTTCTAAACTAAGAATATTGATTTGTATTATGAGATTGTATTTCTCTCTTTTTTTCTTTTCAAAAGATTAATCAGAGCCAGATGTGAGGGCTCATGTCTATTATCCTAGCTACTCAGCAGGCTGAGATCTGAAGGTCTTGTTTTGAAGTCAGCAAAGGCAGACAAAATCAAAGTTCAAGAGTCACTCATCTCCAGTTAAGTGGCAAAAAGCCAGATGTGATGTAAGAGGTAGAGCATCAGCCTTTGGTCAAAAAGCCAACAAAAGTGTGAGGCCCTGAGTTCCAATTGCAGTGTTGGCACACACACACACATACACACACACACACACACACACACACACACACACACACACACACACACACACACACACAGCATGGCTGCTTCATGTGTCCATGTGCTATTGTGGTTCTTTAAAGGAGGAAGAAAAAATTGGCCCATCATTCCCTATTGATCAGAAACAGAAGTTGGTGAAGCCCTTTGTTTTTAAGTAGAAAACACTCGTATTTTTAATGCTAGTTGAAACAACAATTTTTCGCCCATGGTTAAAGGTTACTGCTAAAATTCCATGCCACTTTGCTTTTTAAGTCCTATAAATATTAAAAGGGATTTTCCCATGTAGTAATTCATACTGTTTTCTCCCAAGAGCAATCAATGTCTTCTTTGTGTATATGCTTCCTCACTCGGGCTTCACCTGTACATTTCTTCTCCTTTACTGTTGACTTCACCACTCTGTCATAAATGCACTGTTGTCAGTGATATCACTTCACTTTGCTAGTATTAGAAGCTCTTTGCATGGTATTTATTTGTTATTACTAAAATATGGCTTTGTATTCTTGGAATTCTTCAAACATTGAGTATTCTGAATTTGAATATTATGGGTTTTATATGGGAGGGAACTGATTTTTTCCACCATTTTTGGGAAAGTAGACCTAATTTTTTCTTTTCTTCCATTCTCATTTCCTGAAGGAACTGATGTAAAGACAAGCCTTAAGGTTATAAATGTAAAAGCATTTCTGCCTTTCTGTTATCCATATATTTTAAATATGGACACAAAGGTTTTGAGAGGAGAATCTAATTTCTTTTTCAGGTGATTCCAAATGTGAGTTGAAGTGCAAAGAAGAATTTATTGAGCTGAAGGACATATTCTCTGTAAAACTGAAACGGCGTTGTTTTGTTAAGCAGCAGGGAAATGGTACTTTATTAGGTATCACACTTTTCATCTGCTTGAAAAAGGAGCAAAATAAATTGAAGGATTCTACACTTGATCTTATCAATTTAAGTGAAGACCACTGTGACATATGGTTTAGACAGCTGGAAAAAATTCTGGCAGGTAAGTACTCACAGAATTTTTAATGATCATACATTCCTTAGAATTTTTAATGATCATACATTCCTTGATGTCAATTTTTAATGTAAACATATCACATTTATGGGTATAAGAACATCTGATTGTGTAGGAGTCTTGTACCTCCTTCTAGTTTGTTGTCTTGTGATCATGAGAGGACATTGCATTTGTCAAATTCTTTTCCTGCATCAATTGATCATGTTTCCTCTTCAATTTGTGGTTACAGTGATTGACTTTCTCATGGTGAACCATCCTTGCATTCCAGGAGCAAATCCCATTTGGTCAGGATATACTATTCTATACTATAATTTGCTATTGAATTTGTATGCTATTGTTAGAGATTCTTGAATAAATATTTCAAAAGGATATTGATCTGTGGGTTTTATACAGTAACTTTGATTTTGATATTAGAGTAATGAATTATTATTTAGCTTTTTAATGACTACATTTACAAATCTGATATGAGTCTTAAAATAATTTAGTTTACTGTAAGCTTTTTAGAGACATTTATTTTTCTAATTTATATCTCAACTTCACAGAACTTATTTTTCTTATAGCCAAACATTCATAACCAGTGCATATATCTAGTGGATATTTGAAAATAAGAAATTTCATAGATAATTGTTATAGGAGTAGTGAGAGAGTTCTCCAATAAGGTAGATTTTTTTCTAAAGTTTAATATCTAAGACTTACTATTATTATTTAATTCTAAATAAAATAATAGATAAATGTAATTTGGCTTTCTAGAAGTAATATGGTCAAAATATAATCTGGTATTTCAGATTATAAATCTGATTCCTCCTCCCCCCAATAGGTTTACAAGTCAAGTTTTTTTAAGCCTATTTCATTCTTTTTGTCAGATTGAATATAGTAGAGGAATCTGGGTAGTTGATGGTAAAATTTGGTATTGGATGACTCAGGACAAAAATGGATGCCAAAGGGTAGGTCTACAGTACTGTCAGACATTTCCAGCTTTGGTACTATTGATCATGAAAACCATGAGGATCCACACTGGCCAATGGCAGACAGCTGCTAAAGTTATATCAACCAGTGATAAATTGAAGTCATTTCATTAGTCCTTGGAAACTCTATTACTAAATAGTCTCATGTTTCCTTGTTAGCCTCTTTAAAAATCTTTAGAGATTTGAATCTTTCAATGAGGAAAAAACAGAGGCCACACTGTAGTTTATCTCTCTGCAAACAGAGAAAATGTGTCATTAACTAAAAGCATTTCACTTTACTTGTGAATATTTTATACTATTGTTATTGTATTTTATATGGAAAGAGATAAAAAGTTAAAATTAAAATTAGTGCTTTCAATCAAATTAAACTAGATATTCCTAAGACTCACATGGTCCATAAAATAAGACTGTGCCATTTCTTTAGGAGAGCCAAACTCTTCTTTGCACTGAAGATTGGAGAAAATCTCCCAGGGGGCTTATAAAATGCTGGTTTATACAACTTCTTTAGTACATCTCGCCCATAAAACCAACAGCAATAAGCAGAGGACTTTACAACCAAGCTCAATTCAGTAAAAGCAATGTTATTAGAGTAGAGGGACTTGTTAAAACCAAAATAGAGCAAAACCCTCTGAAGTTGTTGTCCAAATATTTAGTCTAATGAGTGATATGCAGGTTTGATCTAGGGTTTACATGTAGAGAAATTACAGAGATAAATAAATTACCTCTCTTTTGGACTGTCATTCTCTATGAGTGTCATTTTCTTTATTATTATATATTTTATTATAAAAATATTGTACAGAGGGGTTACAGTTACATGAGTAGGATAATGAGTACATTTCATAGTAAGCATTGTTAACCCTTCCTTTGTTTTCCCCCTACCATCACTTCCCTCCCCACATCCTCAACTCCTTCCCCCTCTCCCCCGACATTGTAAAGTTCATTTTCAACATACTGTCCTGTACATCTCGTCATCACAATGGGTCAACCAGCACTCCCATTTAATCGACAAATGTCACTTTCATTCTTTTGATTTAGGTAAGAGTTGGAGGCAGTAAAATCTATAGGGTCATATTCTCCAGGTTGGTCCTGGAGTGAGGTAATTATCTATTTTTCAATCAGAGAGCTTGAACCAGGTCCTGGGCACTGTCCCTGAGCTTTTATGCTCAAGGCTAGCTCTCTACCACTTTCAGCCTCAGCTCCACTGCCAGTTTTTAGGTGGTTAATTATAGATAAGAGTCTCATAGCCTTTCCTGCCCAGGCTGGCTTTGAACTCTGATCCCCAGATCTTAGTCTCCTGAGTAGCTAGATTACAGGCATGAGCCATCAGCGCCTGGCTTGCATAGAGTGATTTTGTTATTATAAAGCCAATGAATGTATTGCTAGGTACTAGTGGCTTAGTCCAGTAATCCAAGCTATTTAGGAGGCTGAGAGCTGAGAATGACAGTTCAAAACCAGCCTGCACTGCAAATCCATGACCCTTATCTCCAGTTACCCAATACAAAGCCAGAAACAGAGCTGTGGTTAAAGTGGTACAGTCTTGAGAGTCACTCTTCAGATCAACCAATGGCAGTGAGCAAAATGGAGGAAAAAGAAAATGGAGGAAAGACCAGACTGTGTAAATAAGTGATGGCTCAAGGTCTGTACCCACGTAGACACAGAGACGTGCCTTCTTATCACCACACCCCTCAACAAGTGCTGGGTCATCTCCGTTGCATACAAGTGAATGGCCCAAGCTTCAAAGCTCTCTGCCAATCATTACATCCTATTGGCACTTCCTTTTTAAGTTTTCTTAGTGTTTTATTTTCACTCTCAGATTCGAATAATCCTTAAAATGTTTAACATTTAAGAGGCAAATTCGGTTGGATAAAACATTATTCTTTGAGTGGGGGAAGCTTTGTGTCCTTCCCAGTCTTTTTGTGTTAGAGCTGAGAACGTTGCCTCCTTTTTCTAGTCTTGCCAGGCTCTGTTGTCTTTGAATTTAGGTCAGTGTATGCTACTGTCTTACCTTATATCCACCATTGCTATTTTCTGATGGAGCTATAGCACATGAGAGTTGTTAACAGTGCCTTTAATGTTTCTAATTAAAGAATTTAGTATTTGAGGCAAATTTAAGTTTAGGGCAAGGGGGGGATGATGGATGCATAGATATTTATATCCCAAATATATACATATGTACAGATATATTTTCTTGTTAGTTTTTACATTTTCTACACCCCCACTTTATTTTCTTATCATGTGAAAACATGAAGATAGTCAAACCTTGACTGATTTGTCTTTTATATTTTATACTGTGTGCCATAAATATGAAAAAGGTATGATGACATTTTAAGAAAAGAACAAATTGGCAACACTGGAAGGAAGAAGAGAACAACTCTCAAACACTTGAAATTTGAAGCTGACAACATAGCCAGATAACTATAGGCTTTAAAAATATAGTAGCCGGGCGCTGGTGGCTCACGCCTGTAATCCTAGCTACTCAGGAGGCTGAGATCTGAGGATCGCGGTTCAAAGCCAGCCCGGGCAGGAGAGACCGTGAGACTCCTATCTCCAATAAACCACCAGAAAACCGGAAGTGGCGCTGTAGCTCAAGTGGTAGAGCGCTCGCCTTGAGCTGAAGAGCTGAGGGACAGCGCCCAGGCCCAGAGTTCAAGCCCCACGACCGACAAAAAAAAAATAAATAAATAAAAATATAGTAAAATTTAGAAGAAAAAGTCAGAGGAATGGTAGTTTGATATTTTGAGCCATTTCCTCTCTAACAATTTACATCATGGAAAAATGTATCAAGAGTGAGTGCACAGACATAGAAAAATCAAACACTGAACCCCACATAAACTTCACAAAACAGAACACACAATGAGCACGGAATAGCTAATTCTCATAGGATCAGATATAAAGAGAAGTAGAAAACATAACAACTAGGGTACTATAAAAATATGGCATTTTGTTATGACAGTAGTTTGTATGCGTTTCATTTTTAAAGAATTTATGCTTCTAACCAGGTGCTGGTTCCTCACATCTGTAATGTAGCCACTCAGGAGGCTGAGATCTGAGGATCATGGTTCAAAGCCAGTCTGGGCAGGAAAATCCATTAGACCCTTATCTCCAGTGAAGCACCAGAAAAGCTGGTAGTGGAGCTGTGGCTCAAGTGGTAGAGCACTAGCCTTGGACAAAAAAGCTCAGGGACAGTGCCCAGGCCTAGAGACCATGCCCTAGGACCAGCACGCATATTTTATCTTTCTTAGACTAGGTGCTCTGGGTCTGAGGATGACGGGGTTTGGTAAACTATGTCTGTGTGGGCCAAGGAATGGGTTTCCCCACAAGAGGCTGCTTAATGTATGCAATATGTTGCCAGGGTCAAGAACCATGTTGAGTATTTGAGCCAATACAGTTTGATTTAATAACCTCCCTGCTCCATTAACTTTTTCCTTCAGTACTAGGGTTTGGATTCCTGTCCATGACCCAAGCCCCTTTAAATTTCATTATTTTTCTAATAGGGTCTTGGGCTTTTTCAATGTGTGCCTGGACCTCAGTCTTCTTCTCTATGTTTCTTGTCCAGCTGGGTTAACAGGTACATACGGTTGTACTTAGATAGGTACACTTATATAGGTGCTGAGCTGAGGGTCCTGTTCTCTGCCTCCCAACTAGCTAGAATTATAGGTACAAGCCATTCACACCTAGCATCAAAGATTTCAGAACATTTTATATTCTTGTTATTTTATGTGTTCTTAAAGGTTACGCAGTACTTTTGAATTATGTAAGGTCACGATTTTTTTAACCCTATAACCCAGGTGCCTGGTTCCCAGGGCAGAGTAGAAGATAGAGTATAACCAGAGCTTTTTATTTTTGAGTTTCTACCAGCATTAGCTGGTACTCACAACCTCCTCTCCCTTTTCAGCAGTGATGAGCTAGAATGAATTCTTTAGAAATGATTCTTTCTGTCAATACTTGGGATGGGTGACAGTCTTTCCAGGGGAATTCACCAAATTTTTAGCATTTTTGTTTTAAGAAGGATATATTTTTTGT